ACAACGTTTCGACAAGGTTTTGTCATCATCAGGTACCCGATGATGACAAAACCTTGTCGAAACGTTGTACATTTGCTGTTATATTAAAGTTTTTCTTCATTACCCATTCAAGCCGTCTCCAGCCATTATTAGTCTCAAAGTGGGTTCTTCGTCATCGAATGATCTTATCTGAGCTTAGCTACCAAATAAATGAGCATTTTATTAAACTAGTTTGATCAAGTCTTTGAATATCTTACCTGGGGCCGACTGCCTATTGAATAAGCTCGAACTGGCTTAATATAGCCATCCAAGTCATGTTCTGATGGAGAAAAATATGATCTGACCTAAAACAACAATGAAGAAGCTAACTGTAATACAACTGTATATGTTTAATATGACAATGGCAATTTGAAATAATAAAAATTTGTGTACATTCACAATATGTATAAAAGAAATATAATCACAATTATTGTTGAAAACTAAAAATCTGCAAGGAATGGACTTACAGTTTCAATAACAGTGATTTAGCTAAATCTCACTATTCAGAATATTCAAAGTTAACCTATGTTCAGTGAACAACAAACATTCTCTAGTTTAAAACATGGTTTTCTCTGGTTCTGTACTATCTGATGATTCTAAAGCAAGTGGTCCTTTTTGGTTGATCACAGCTTTGATAAACATAGAATCAGGTTTTGTATCAATATATCATCAAACAGGGGAAGTGTATTTCCAGATTACCTTAGAATATCCTTGTATCTGGACTTTTGTAATATCATACACACACACAAGGTTCCAATTAGTATTTTAGTGTAACAGAAGAAAAACTACAATGGTACTTGTTAAAATTTAAGGAAGATGTGATTATCATAATTATTATTTTTTTTTATTAGAAGTATCACATTAACAAGTTCACTCCTTGGTATCTTGTATATTTTACCAACGTTTCCTAAACAGGAGTGACCAGTAAGACTGAATGTATTGAACATGAAAAATGTGCTTTAAATTTGTAGATATAATTAAACACTCAAAGTTTCACGAAGATGTATTTTTAGCTAGTTTGATGCTGAATCACTATAGGATGAAAGTACCAAACACAGTGCTGATTTAATTTATAAAGCTAATGATGTAACAGCCAGTATTTCAAAAAATGTGTGTTTATCAAAGTAATGAAATGTGTAACTAATTATAATAGTTTTTTATTAAACAGAGATATGTATGATGAGACTGATAAAGTAGCTAGGGGTTCTAGATTAGTTCCTGCTTTAGTTAATTCTTTAAAAAAAATGGGTTAAGAGATTGTTTTCAAGATTTTAACCCTTTGTATTGTTCTGTATGTTAACAACATAAAATTCTGAACAACATGAATGGTAATTATGGTCATATTAATGGACTGTTTTTGTCTGTTTCTAGAGTGGACAATGTTTTATATTTTATGCTGAAGCTTTCTTCAGGATGAAGCCTTAAATGGTATCTATTGAAAATTTTCATGACATAACGACATCGAAGATGTTGTTTCAAGGGTAGTTTATGTAGTGCAGATAGAGATTTAGTTTTAATAGACTGCTCTGTCCTAATTCTAGTAGAGTGCAATGACATTTCAGCTTGTACACTGCGGAAGGCCTCAGTATATAAGAAACGGACAGGAGAAGCCCATTAAAGCTAAATCTCTACTATGTCTATACTGTATAAAATACCCTTGAAACAACAAGGTCATATTAAGTCTACTAGTGAATGTCAAGATAAATAGCTTGATTCACAGATCTGAAATCACATACCTACTTATTGTGTAACTACGAATATTTTACTTAAGTCAATCTATAAAATAAATTACAAAAGTGAATGATTTTTGTAATTACAGCATTTGTACAGTTGTCAAAAATGTGACTACCCCAATTTTCGGTCATATGATGTAATGAATAAAAGTTATCATGAATGAATATTGAAGTAAAAATTAGTGGAACTATCTGAACACATACACAGCGTGGTCACAAGTAAATAGACACCACCTTTTCAGAAAAAATGAAATTTTTCAGTCATATTCACATG